AACGTAAACACGTCACTTACGATTGAAAAAATTTATATTTACTACTTTATGTCGTTGGCATTTGCATTTCATTTATAAGTTTAAGTTATTTATAAACATTCGCTCTCAAAACTTATTAAACGTTTATTTGAAAAAACTTTTAATAAGCTTAATATTAAAAATGCTTATTTAACGCTTATTATAGCAAACTTACTTTAAGTTATTTTTAAAAACGTTTACTGAAATGCTTGTTGGGTACATTTTTTGTTTTGGCTGTTCTTGACTATGGTTGAAAATCATGGTACAATAAAAACAGGTAGAAGCCAAATTAACATCAAACCTGCAAAAGTCAAAGTTTTCGTGAGAGTAAAAATAAAAATGAGCGTGTGTAAGGAAAAATAAAAATATTACATTTCGCTGGTTGACGTTTTTAAGTAAATTTGAAGTTTTGTATTTATTTATTTATTTTCTTTAGTTAAAATTTGATAAAACGTGTATGTTGTTTTCTGTTTTTGTTTTATGAGTTCCAGTGTTGTTGGAGGGACTTTTCGGCATAAGGGTCATAGGAACAGCACTTGGCTTCAAACGTGCCTTTCCTGTACCTCCCGGTGTATTTGTGGAATCTACTTTTTTAAAATGTTTAACGCACAGCAAGGCATTTCACTGCAGCTCTGCCCACAGCTGCTTTCGCAACGTTCCTTACGCGAAGGACATTGAGGCACGTTAAAAAATTAGTGGTATCTGCCTTATATTTAACACCACATAAAAAACAACGCTTCAGGTGTTGCATTTTTAACACATACACTAAGTATAAATATAGAAAAAGGTTTTTTCTTAACAGCGGTCGTCCCTCGGCAGGCAATGGCAAACCTCCGAGTGCATTTCTGCCATGAAAAACAGCTTCTCATAAAAATACAATCGCCGTTCGGAGTCGGCGTAAAACTGTAGGTCCCTCCGCTTTGTGTGACAACATGAAGGCGCACGCCACAAATCGGAGGAGAAGCTCGGCCAAACACTAACATATGTGTAAGCGCCAATCTATTATTATTATTAAGTATAAACCGCACAACACTACAAAAATTCAAATGCAAATTAAAATTTGTTATTAACGAACATTCAAAAAAAAAACAACGATATGACATTCAAAGCGTAACGAAATATAGGAAATAAAATAAAATCAAGTTGAAGTTTAAAGGTTTGGTTCTCATGAGAGCAACGTCATTTTGGCTTCTACCTGTATTTATGTGCCTTGGTTGAAAATATCAATGTGAGAATTTGCGTTCATTCAAAAATTGTCTTTATTCAAATAAACATTTAAAATTAGAATAACATATTTTAACTCTACATATTGGCGATCCTGCTCATCGAATAATTACACAAGTCATAACAATTGCATCGTTTACAACAATTTATGTCTGCAATAAGTTACGTCATATCATCATTTAATCATCTCTTAAGCAAAGGTTTCTTTCCACAATCATGTATAACATGAATTCCAGAGATCATTAAGAGTAAATATATATCGTCACTAGACACGAATAAAGGCGCGAGCTCAAAAGTTGACTGCGAAAAAAGGCGCATAAAAAAACTTTAGCGAAGAAAGACTCTTAACATAGGTGACGGCGAAGAAAGACGCGTTAAAATATTTGACGGCGAAGAAGGACGCGTAAACTTATTTTCGCGGTCAACTATGTTTGCGGGTGTACATACTACATTCCGATAATAGTTTTTGGGGAATAGTGCTGCAGTGACAGTCCTTCGCCAAGTATAAATCTATGATTACGCGTCTTTCTTCGCCGTCAACTAGGTTACAGGCTAACCTAATATTCACGCACGCCGCCAATTTACTGTCAAAAATTTCTCATGCGCATACAACTTGTATGGGACCAGCCGAAATTGAACGGCGTGCGTACGAAGCTAACTCAATTTCCAATTTTTGTTCTGCGTGACATTTTGATTTGACATTTCACTCAATGAAATCAAATACAAACGCACGCAAGCCAATTTAGGGTGACTCAAGAAAAAAAATTCTACGGCGTGCGTACCAAAACGCAAGCCGCGAATATTAGGTTAGCCTGTTAGGCGTCTTTCTTTGCCGAAGTTTTTCTTAAGCGCCTTTTTTCGTAAAATTTTCGTATGCGTCTTTTTTCGCCGTCGAAACACTAGGTCCATTCAATATCAACAAATTGTTACGAATTGTTACTAGTACTTGCAAGTTTTTACTGGAAATGCGTTCAATAACCCAAAATATTTGGAAGAGGGGGCGAATTCGAGAGCGTAACAACCCGAGAGAGCTGCAAACTCTTGCAAGTAAAAATTTTTCTAGCAGGAATTTGCAGGAGTCCAAAAGTAAGGTTATGTTTCAAATTCAAATGTAAACAACTATTTAAGAGGATGATTTGATGAAACATAATTAGTGAAATGAAAATAGGGATGAAAAATTCAAATCCACTATATATTTTTTTATTTTTATGACGATGGGAACTATTCCCTATTAAAAAGAAAATTGCGCGCCAAAACTTAACCGTCAGAAAGTGTCAAAATGGCTTAAGTTGCAAGTTTTTACTAGTTTTGCGTTCAATAACTGTTTCTGAAAATTTTCTCTT